TTTCTCTTGAAACGACTAACCCTAGAAAATTCTACTTCAATCCTTTTTATATTCGTCGGATAAGTAAATCTTCTAAGTTGCCTTCCTTGATTGTCACGTATCTGATATATTTTCTTCCTTATTTGAATAGATCCTTCCAATTTGCACGTAGTCCACGTCAGCTACTTAACCACGTCACTTTAATCTTCATGTTAGAACAGCTCCGCATATGTTCCAACAGCTCGTCTTTCACATATTACTCATAATTCATGTTAGAACAGCTCCGCATATGTTCCAACAGCTCGTCTTTCACATATTACTCATAATCTTCAAAGACTCCTCTTTCACATATTACTCATAATTTATTTAACAAATTTGCAAATATATCACCATATACTGAGAATCTCTTGCCTTGTTATATTCAATGGAAAACAATAAGTACACCAAAAGAACAACAAAATGGAAAAATACACAGAGCTTAGCGAAAACTCTACAAAACCGAAACCATTTTCTCTACATTGAGAAAACGCATAACGCATAAAGGAAAGACTCAAAAACGAGAAATCTAGAGGTAAAATGAGAATTAGTAGAAGGAAACAAAGTTTCAAAATGGAACACAATCCTTAAAAGTCATAAGACTAACATCTTAGTTTTTTTTAGTCACATAAATTTCCAAACACATTATCCCCTAATCAACATCATATTATAATATGACTATATGTCTGGTGGGCTTCTCCAAATAGTAGCTTGTCCTTGATTGTTGATGCTAATCAGAGTCCTACAAAAGAACAAAAGAAACGTAAATTTGTGCATTTGTTATTGAATYTGGAAAGTATCAAAACTAAAAGAAATCACACTTACGAAAAATCATTAGAAATGGCTGTAGCTATGATCGGTAAGGCATAAGGGTCTGGGAACCTATTTGGAAAAACAAAAATCATTAATGTTCCCAACCATATTAGGTGAAAATCAACCCAACCATATTCAGTAAGGGTTATACTTACGTTACAACCAATTTATGATGAATTGGATACGCCAAATTCCATATTGTTATCACTCCTTGAGCGTTCCCTGAA